CACTTGCCTAACGTGGGAGTGAAATTTGGTCCCTATTATAAAATGCAGCACTGTATTATGCAGTACGTTTCCATCACAGTACAACTTGTAACACAGCAGCATGGTGGGCTGGCTCTCTGCGCCCTCCTCAGACTATGGTCCCTTGGACCTCTGGGGGAATATTCCATGAGATAAACAGACTTTTGTCTTCTTTGCATGTATCATTTTTTCATACCAGCATAACTCTGTTGTTTCATGATGACTCCACCGATCCAGATCCTCAGCTAGTATTAAGCCAGCCTCCTGAGTGAGTGGAGCTATGCTGATTTATACTAGGTAATATCTGACTCAACTTCAGCGGACCTACTCTTGATTTACATTGGTGTAAAAGAACCTAGAATGAGGTCCAAGGACAGCAGGATTGGGCCCAAACTGACCTTTATATAAAGTGAAACACAAAAAGTCTGTGCCATTTAGCTTACAGTGTGCTTAATAAATTACTACAGTTCACAGTTGAAGGTAATTAGTGCTACACCAATCACTTTCTCTTATTTTAGATCAATTTCATGTAACTTTTTCAAAAAAAAAGAAAATAATAAATATTAAAAATTATTCTTATTTGACCAGCAAAATAGGAGGTTTTCTGTAGCCCTAGTGACAGACAAGCTTAATAACACGTTACCCTATTATAGGATGACTGGGTTAAAGGCTAAATCTTGCCTAAGATGCTGTGATACAAAAAGGCTGAGGAAGATATTGTAGCCTGGCTCTTATTTCAGCCCAAAAGTATAGTATAAGACCCCAGCTAGCTGGGTCAGAGCTCATAAACATCCATACTGATGAGAGATGATCTCTGAGTTAGCAGTAACTATATAGATTTCAACAGCGTGCTTGTGGGGCCTGCTCCAGAGCCTAGTCAAATCAACAAAAAGACTCCTCATGACTCTGCAAGTGGTAGTTAGTAGCTAGCAGAAGAGGTGGCTGTAGTTTGTGCCTGCACAGAAGAGGGGCAAAACTACTGGCCAGAGCAATTTCCATAGCATAACTCTCAGCCAGCCTTGGGGAATGTTGCCTTTGGTTTTTGCACAGAATTCAGCAGGGCCAACAGCCCCACTTCCCACGTCTAGGCAGGATTTAGCCTTATGAATTCTACTTCATGGAATCAAAAGATAAATTATACTTACAAATAAAGTAATATTTGTAAGTAACTCTACCTATTTAAAGTTTTGCTGTAGTGGAAAAATCAGACATCCAAGCCTGATGAAATCTCTGTTGTCTGAAAATTCAAGGCCCCGTTTCTAAAAATACTTTTTGCTGATGGCAAAGTTCAACACCTCAGAGAAATTCAGAATAAGTTTCCAAGCTGTATACCATATTTTCAAATACACTATACCCTTGTTGTTTGTAAGGCTGTATTGAAGTTTTACGTAACAGTCATGAGCCATGTGTTTGAACACCTTAAAAGAGTTGACCAGCAACTTAATGCATTTCTTTATACCCTAGGGAATTTAAAGATGCACCATCTCTTTCCAAAACACTGGGATTTAAAGATTCTAAACGTAAATGTCCAGGATCAAATAGTCTCTCCTCTCCCTCCCCCTGTATTTGAATATGACTGTACTTAAAAATATGTATGCTTCAGCAGTGAAGGATTAATGTATAGATTTTTCTGTGTATGCTCTTACTATATAGAAAATTCAGTTGTTAGTTAATATCTAAAAAAGGCAAAACACCACACAAACATGGGAGATACGAGCTGTCAGCCACAGGTTTCTTGAGGCAAACTACCCGTGGGCAGACTGCTGCCTTGCAGATGCAAAGAACTGTGAGTGTAAACCCTGCGGTTTACCTATATCATTCTTACTGCCAACAGAAACCAGGAAGTTTTAGAACGCAGGAGATACAGGTCCACAGTTTATTTGTGGGGGCATAATATGAAAACACTTATCTTTTTTTCTGGCCAGTCCAATCATGTGTAGAAATAGCAGGGAGTGGGTTTGGCCCAGGTGAAAATATACTCTCTGGAAAATGCTGGATAAAAGTTCTGTGGCAAGATGTAAGAATAAGAAAGAGTGATACCCAGAAATTTGCAAAGCCTAAGTACCCATTTTAGGGTAGAGCTTCAGCTGATGTAAGTGGGCAGAGACTTACTCATTTCAGTGGAGCTGTCTGCTGGCTAAAGAAATTCTAGTATGCTGTGGTCTCTGACCCTCAGTATTTCCTGTGTCTATGCAAGATTCCTTGACCTATGCTCAAGCTGGAGAAAAGGTTCCTAAGAAAGCTGCAGAAGTAGTATAATTAGTATTACAACCATGCTTGAAAGGCACCTCTTTCTACTATTTATTTTTCTCTAGGTGCTCATTACTATTCTTTCAGGGAGCTACCTTACTCAATGACTCATTGAATAGGTAGGGATGGCAAGTTAGACGAAAGAACAAATATTTCTACAAAAACAGAACTCAGTGCTTTACAACCAAAAGTATTTAAAGTCAGAACTATCGCTCACTGCTTTAAGTATTAAAGTATGTGGAAGAACCTCAGTATGGAGAGAAGGGGATCACGGAAGCATGTCCCGTTAGGCATCACATAAACACCACTTCCATATAACAAGGTTAAAACCAAGATGGATTGGATTGTGGCTGGCATCTGCACTCCCAGGGTCAAATTCTCTCTTAGCGCAGGTAGGGAGTTAGGCCGAAGTCAAGCCCTTTCTACCAGCAGCAAATCCAGCTCTTTATTAGATACTTGACTACTAGAAAAGTCCAGCAACAAGAGTAGATAACAGACATTTTTACATCCTTATCTAACTAGTAGTGTGTGCTCATGCTTCTGCTCTGGATTTTGCTACTTCTAGCAGACTCACTGTTCCTGAAGAGTCACAGCAAAGCAAGGTGCGTTTCATTTTGGGAACGTCTTGTTTTATCTCATCACTTTCTGCAAAAATATATGGCCCCAACATATTGTTATTTTTATTCCCTCATAAACAGTTCTGAGACAGTTTTTGCTTAGAGGCTAAACAGGTTGGGGAGCCTGGGCTAGATGCTTTATCCTCAAAACCAATATACATTGTTTTGACTTCTGAAAATAAGTAAGTGTTACATTGTTCTGGGTCGCACTGATGAACACCATTTTGCTACTGAACGTAATTAATAATCTAATGAAAAAAGCTGGTACTATGACAGTAAAATATCACTGTTTGGTTCTATGGTATATGAGTCAGGTTTTCCCCATGCAATTCCGTGTGGTGTAAAACATACAATGTATGTCCTTCTAGCTGCGAGTTGGCACTGACATTTCTCCTCCCCCCCCCTCACCTTCGCACCCACAGCAATTTTCAGTGTGTGTCTCATTCAAAGCCCGTGGAAGTGAATGGAAGCCTTTCCATCCTCACTGAGCTTTGGATCAGGTAATGAATGAATATTTATGGTGCAAAAAGCTAACTTCCCTCTCCCAAAAAACAGGAATTACAAATGTAAACCCCTTATAGAAAGTTTTCTCCCTTGTATCACAGCAAAGACTCTTCTTGGCTTCCGCATACTGACCAAGCATAAAATAGTGAATAACATTTATTTTTGAATTTATGGATTGAGTGCACAGGGATTTTAATAGCACTGGGGTTATGGAAGTGCTATTTTAATAAGGACCACAGATCATGGGCCCAAATCCTTACCTTCACCTCAAGGACTTGTAAACTTGACTATTTAACTCAAATCTCTTTATTGGAGGCCTCAGAATGCATCCACCTGGAGGCCTATAAAATTAAACTTCAAGAACTGTTTAAGAAAAATTAAAGCTTGTGCAACAGCTGGGGTTTCTCGCCGTATTAGTTCATTTCTCAGTGACTCAAATGTTATGGTTCTTTAATATTTTTAAGATCATCTTCTATAGTACTTACTCCGTCTTATTCTAGTTCCAGAGGACAAAATCATGACTCACTGGGACGTGCCTTTAGACTATGGCAGGCTAAAACACCTTCTTCCACCCTCCTAATGATATTAATATTTACTGAGTCATCAGAGGTGGACCCAAATAAAAAATCTTGGATTCAAATTGCACCCCAAATTTCATAATCTGAATTGACAGAATATCCCAAATTCAGACATAGTGATCAAATATCCCTGAAGATTACAGTGAGTATTCAGGAACAAAAGTTGGTGTGTTTCTTTCCAACGGGTGTGTGAGGGTGCCTGCAATGTAAAGAAATGCACTCTTGTGCGGTGCGCAAAGGAAAAGACTGCGCTTCACTTCAATCCCATTTAGACCCTACGTATTATTCATTCAGAGCTTGGCCTTACTCTTTCTGCTCTTGATCTTAAAGGTTCACTCCCTTCTTTCTAGGCTTTTAAAATCACTTGCTACTTACATTATTTGAAATCTAAGCTCCTGAAACAAAACCTTAAGTGATAATAATTGTGTCAGACTCTGACAGCATTCAGAGATGGTACTGAATGCAGGTTCTAGATACTGAAAGAATTTTCAGTTCTCTAAATGGCTAGAAACTGGGATAACTGTGTTACTAGACCAGTTAGTACTTTAACTGTATGCAAACTAAAGCTATTCAAGAAGCAGGCTGAGAAGTAGAAAACTTCACAGGATATGGAGGAAAACAGGTTAATCGAAGTTTAGGACACAGTCCTAACATGATGACAGCAAGGATGTTACAGTTTCTGCTAACTTGTAGGCAGAACCACTTGTGCGTAAAATTCTGCATGCTGGAGATAGGTAGGAATTAAGAAAACTGCAAAAACAGATTTGCAGCCCCAGAGTGTTCTGTTACATGGTGAATGTCATGACCCTACCTGCAAAATTGCAGATGCAAATAATAATGCTTCCATTACGACGGATACTCCTGTAAGACCAAAAATCTGGTGGTGAAGTCAAAAGATTAGGACTCTTTTGAGTAGCTAGAGTTGCCATTGGAGTAGCTGGATTTTTAAATGTGGTTTTGAAAATATGTGCCTGTATGCATAATGCTCACTATCTCTTTGTGGAGCAGTGGGAAGCGACACAGAGGTCTGGGGTTAAAGTGTGCTGCTGAATACTTCTGAGATAGAAGAACCTGACTGGTCATCTGGACTCATTTTCTGTTGCATAGCACTGTGCACGCCCTTACGTTCTACAGACGGTATGCTCATTGCCAAGGACTTGCCTTCTTCCTCCAGGAATGTTGTTTTATAAGGCTCAACATGTATCTTACGGACATGCTGCCTTGATTCCTCATACTTGCCTTTCCCATCTTCTGGAAGGC